TGACAGGTGGCAGGGAACATGGAGAGAATGTATTGTCCCTGACAGGACTTGGTGTGGCTATTGATGGGGAGGGGTGGAGACAGGGGTAACCTTGGGGTTACAGGCCTGAGCAGCTGGCAGGGTGTGAAGCTGGGAAAGATGTGATGGATAGTAGGAAGTGCTCAATGGGTAGCATCAAATCTAGGTCTGAATCCTGGCAAGAGGCTGAAACTTCAGTTTCAGGGTTGCTGACACCCATAGAGAGGGCCTAATGGAAACCAGAGAGTCTCTGGCAGGTCATGACATTCAGAATAACCAGGTGCCTTGAGCTCCTTGAATTAGATGGCCCTTGAATCTTCTCAGTGGTCTTTAAGTTGAAATCTATGCTCAGTTAATTTTTTATCCCAGTGCTTGACAGGAAAGATCTGATGTATTTGAGTTCCCAAGCAGTGGGAGCTATAGCCACCTGTGCTGGCCAGGACTGCTGGCACAAGATTTGGAATGGGGAGGCCTATGGACGGTTAGGTGCCTCCCTCACTGAAAATGTCCAGTTATGGCTGCTTGGCCTCCCCTGTCCCCAGTATTATTGCTTGGGAGAAAGCTCTTGCCTGCAGGCATCCCCGTGGTGGAATAGGTGTCTCTAAGTTGGACATGCCCTGGGAAAGGCTGCTGCCCTGCCTCGGTAACTCTCCTGACTTAGGCATCTTGTTTTCTATCCCAGGACATCCTCTTTGACGCGAACACTCACAAAGTGAAGAAGTTTGTCCTTCACACCAATTATCCTGGGCATTATAATTTCAATATGTAAGTATACCTGTACCTGCCCCTCAGAGCAGTGGGCTTTGGACTAAAAATCCACAGGAAAGAGAGCTTATGGCTTCAGAGTTCACTAATTTATCTACACCTGAATTCTTGCTGGTTGATGGGACGTGAACATTTTCTGAGTGTTTATTCTGTTCCTGGTATAGTGTCCAATAACTTGCATCTCTCCATCTGTACCCAGTTTACAAACAGGGAAATAAATTCAGAAAGCTTGGTGTCTTTTCCAAGGTGGTAGTCTTCAGACCCCAGAGCTATACCTTTTCTGTTGAACTCTAATTCCCTGAGCTGGCCTCCCCCAGTGAATTCTGAGTCAGGCCCAGTACCGGGCTTAGGATAGTTGTGCTTAATTCTGTTTTTCCTGGAGTGCAAGGTTAAAATGTAGGGGTGGTTAGGCCTCTCGGGGGGCCTGGCCTTTACACATCTTCCTTTTCTCTCTTAGTTATCACCGTTGTGAGTTCAAGATCCCAATAGCCATAAAGAAAGGTGAGTAGTAAGTGTCCTTGGGATAAGAAAAGGCTTTTGGGGTCACTCATGATGAGAAGGGACAAGTGACCCAAGTATAGAGATGGTAGCAGATGGGTTAATGTAGTCTTGGCCCACCTGATCCTGCCCATAGCCTCGACTCCTTGAGCTCCTTGAATTCGATGGCCCCTGAATCTTCTCAGTGGTCTTAGCTCACTGGGCTAAGCTCTCTGTTTGGGGCGGGGGAGCGCTAGGGGAGGCTACAGTGGTTGGTCTGTAGTCTCGTGGAGGCCTTCCAGGTCTTTTCCTGTAACTGGAGTGCTGATCTCTAGAAGGGAGAGTTTTCTCATACAAGTGGTGAGGAGGATCTGAGGCCAGGGAAGCCAGAATTGGAGGGGCAGGATGATCTCATACAGATGATCATACCAGTGGTCCCAGCCCAGCCTTGTGATTGTTGTCCACTTCTGGTTGGTGTAGCTCACACCTGACTGACCTCCCTTCAAACTCCAGCCCCAGTGCAAAGGGTGACCAGATCTGGATTCTGCCTAGGGCTGGGGTCACAGGTGGACTGGGCCAGCTGCCAACCACTCTGTATTCTCTTTTCAGAAAATGCAGATGGTCAGACAGAAACATGCACAACCTATAGCAAGGTGAGCTCCTATTTTCCCACCTGATGCAGCCTGAAAATGAGGTGGTCATGAACGTGCTAGCAGTCGGGGGTCCATGTTATCTGAGCCTGCCATTGTCACAGGTGTGGTCAGGCCCTTCTAACCCCCTGCCGCCTCCATCCCTCTTGCAGTGGGACAACATCCAGGAGCTCCTGGGTCACCCTGTGGAGAAGCCTGTTGTCCTTCACAGGTGAGTGTGGGAGGTTATCATCTCTGGCCACCTGTCAGAAGGCCTGAGGAAGCCTAGCAGTGGATATTGCTTAGAAATAAATGGTAAACATGTGCATACTTCCTTCCCCAACTCTGTGCATTAATACTAGGCCTACTATTGCGTGTTTGTACCAGAGAGGTTGCCTAATGGGAATAGCTTCTCCCCTCCTCCACCTACCTCCAGATAGGAGAGCCTTTTCACCCCTAGTTATTCAGAAAGGGAGGCAGTTATGACCAACTGCCCTAGGATCTTTTCATTTCCATCGAAGCTGCTACTAGCTGTAGTCCAACCCAGTACCTGGTTTTCATGCTGCCTGAGGCTCTCTGCCTCCTGACTTCTCACAACCCCAGTTCACTTCCATAGTAACTTTTTGTGCCATGTTAGGCTGATTGAGGCCAATAGCTACCTCAAGGGCCTGTGTGGGACTTACAGACCACTTGCTAATAGCCCCCATCCCAAAAGGGACTGCTGGCCTGGCCTTGGTCTGCCCCTCTAATTCTGGCTTCCCCGGCCTCAGGTCCTCCTCCCCAAACAACACCAACCCATTTGGCTCCACATTCTGCTTTGGTCTTCAGCGGATGATCTTTGAGGTAAGCCCTGGGGACTGAGGGGCTGGTGTTCTGGCAGGGAGAGGCAAGTCATTGAGAGAGATCAGGGAGGACCTAAAGGCCCTTCTGGGCAGATTAATCCTTCCCCTACCACTCTGTTGAGAACTTGGTCTCTCCAATTTAACAGTGAGGGTTCAGAAATTATGTTAGAGAAATTCAGGGTCAGGTAAGCTAAAGCAGTGCTCTGGATCCAATAAGATGAGAGGTAACGGGAATCCCAATACCTAAAACCAACACATCAGGGAAAGGAACCACAGGGCAAGTGGGATTCAAATGGCTATAGAGGCGGACCCACTGGCTTGGGAGAAGAATGGGCTGCCCTGTTTTCTCTTCTTGCTGAGGGTGTCATAACCTTCAGCAGGCCCCTGAAGAGTTCCAGAAGAACTGGACAAATAGGTGTGGTGGAGTATATGTATCCCATGAGGCTCAGGCAGACGCTAGGGCAGAAATGATGCCTAACATGAGATAAGGGATGATGAGGGATTGGCCCAGTCCTGTGTGTTGTACACACAACCTCCACACCCATTTACAGGGCCTTCTTTGGGTCCTTTCTCTGCCATCTGAGCCCCAGTGCTAATCCCACTGGTGGTTTTTGTGGGTCTGATTGCTTGCTCTGCTCCGTCCCTTTGACTTGCTGTCCTCTTCTCACATCAGGTTATGCAGAATAACCACATTGCCTCGGTGACCCTGTATGGCCCCCCCAGGCCTGGTGCCCATCTGAAAACAGCAGAGCTCCCCTAGGGACATCACCACCCGTGCTCCCATCCCCCGTGGAACTGTGCGTCACATCCTCCTCAGCGGGTCTTCATGTGCCACCTGTGGGTTTTCTTGGACACCTTGCCAGTGTTGAAGGGCTGTTGTGATGTTCTGAGATGAGGCTCAGGCTGGGTGCTCTGCCATGAGATGAGAGACCCAGGTATTAGTCTGTCCATCCTCAGCCTGCTGGTGCCAACAGGGGACGCAGACTGCAAAGAGAAGCACAAACTCTGAGCCTTGATACCTGAACCCAGGAGCTTTTGGCTAACACTTAAGGAGGCAGGGTTCTGTCTCCTCTATCCCACACACGTTGGAAAACTTGGGACTCTGTGGCTGAGAACGCAGGCACCCAGGACGAGGACATGGTCCTGCATTTGGCCCAGCATTGCCACATGACCCTTAAGGCAAGCAGGTAGCACATCTTTAGGACTTGGTTGCAACTTTTGCACTACATCCACTTTAGTTACTTGATGAGCTGGCTGTTGCCAAGGTGGCCCACCTGCCCTTCCTTGTTCCTTTCTTGCACGCGATCCCTGCCAGGCCCAGTAGGCACACCCAACTGGTTGAAACAGCTTTCTTCCATCCAGGTACGTGCCCAGGCCTGGTTCCCACCCTTCTTAGAGCCAGCCTTCAACGTTGCCTCTGCCCCGCTATGCCCCAACCTGGCTGGCAGGGCTGCATGTTTCCATCCTTTTTGCCTCTTTTATTTAATGCCAAAGTTTTAGCCAAAGACATCTTCCTCCTTTGTTGTGTTTCAGCATTCTGTTCTGCACTGTGGGCTGGCTCCCCTGCCCCAATCCTGGGCAGTGTCCCCTGGCTGGGCCCATTCATGGCTCAGGCTTTGGGGACTCAAGGAGGGCTGAGCTGTTCAGCCTCTTCATGGGTCTTGCTAAGGAAAGTAGCATATGTGCTTTAAAAATATTAACCTTTTGAAAAGAATTGAGAAGAGAAATGTATAATTTTATCCCATTTTTAATATTTTGGTCTAGCAACTTGTGATACATAGATGACAATTTTGTGAGTTTTTCAAATGTGTGTACAGATTTTTGTAAATATGACTTTTGTAATTAACTCATGTACAGCCTCATCCTGTATAGTTTAACGATGAATGTGCAGGGGACCTGCCCCAGGTTCCTATATGATTCCTGGGCCTACATCCAGGCTTGTGTGGCGCTCTTGTGACTTTGTGACTGACTGGTGTCTTCCCATTTGGACTGTGGCCTGGCCAGAGACACCACCCCAACCCCCACTCCACACATCCCCACTGTTGGGTCAGCCAGGACTGATCTCATCCTCCTGGAATGGGGGAACCTTCCTCATGTCCTGCCCACACCTCCAATAAAGACCTATGCCCTCAGCAATGGCTCACCACGTGCTGTTGCTGGGATGTTTGTACTAAAATAAGTGCGGGGTCATTGACTTCTTTTTTTAGAATGTGGGAAATGTATAGTGGAGTCATCTTAGAAGAGGTTCCTTGGCTCCTCTGAGGGGGCAATACTGCCTTCAAAAAGAAAAATACAGCCTCCACGAGATTGCCCTAGTTGTGTGGGTATGGGTTAGTTGGAGGTGGGGAAAGACTTAGTTGTCCCTGTGTGTCTCGATCCCTGCTGTTGCAACCAAACCAGGGCCCAGGAAGGGGGTGTCTTCTCAAAAGGAGATCTAAAGACTTTGGCAAGGCTGAAAATACAATTTGGAGGGACAGATGGGAAACAAAATGCCTACTTTCGGATTGAGTGTTAATGGCATGTCTGCCGGTTCCATGAAGGCTGAAGCCAGATCCCACACCTCCTTGTGGGATGTAGCTGTGAGAAAGGCCTGTATGTGTGCATCCTCGGGGTTTCAAACCAAGTTGTGTGGTCAGAGTCCATGAGTCCCTGCCACTTCTCGAGACACACACCCACATTCCCCTCCCCCCTACTCCTCAAAGGTTTGTTATTAGATGGTTCCAGATCAGCTCCCAAGTAGGGGGACAGGAACCAAGCTCAATCTTCATTCCCTGGAACCCTGAGGAAGCAGACATATGACACCAGCTGGTTCCTGAACTCTTATGCCCCTTTTTGGGGAAGAACCACATACCCTGCAATAATCCACCTGGGAAACTTCCCTTCTACATCCTGGATCTGAATGAGGGGAGCTTTGGGCTGTGACATGTTACTACGGCCCCCACTGGAAGGGGCCAGCAGCTACAGGCTGTGGATGTGCACAGGCTGGCCCAGGCGAACCATGCAATAGGTGCCACATTAGCCAGATGTCAGCGGCTGATAGTCCATGCACTACAACTAGCTCACGGTAAAAGCAGGGGTCAAAGGTGCGCAGGTGCGGCGCAGCTGAAGGTTGGGGTATGCCAAAGGTGCGGAAAGCAGGATGAGGCTCAGGTGTGAGCCGAAGGCGCTGCAGACACATCCCCAGAAAGACATCGTCAATAGGGAAGAGCTCAACCTGGGCGCAGGCACCGGCCAGGCGGCGGAGCGTGGCCCCCGAAAGCACGAAGCCGCCTCCGCCAGCGTAGGCCGGGTACGCCGGCAGGCCATACACAGCCTCGGGAATGTAGTACTTGCTGGCTCGCGCCCGGATCGGCCGTGCCTGTACGATCACGTCACCCACAAGCAGGTCCTGCGCCGGGTCCCGCGCCGCCAAAAACTCCAGCAGGTTTCCCACGTGCATGAACACGTCCGCGTCGCCCTTAAAAACGAAGCGTACGTTGGGGCAGTAGGCTGAGGCCCAGGCCAGAAAGTGGATCTCCTTGAGCGTTAGGTTGAAGAAGGTGTCGTCGAAGGCCCAAAGCAGGATGTCTGTGTAGGTGCGGCTCTCAGCACGCAGTAGGGCGCGCCAGCGCGCTTGCGAGCCTGTCCCCTCCGCTTCTGTTGGGTCTGAGCCTGCGCCCTTGGGCACGCCCAGCAAGAACACGCGGCGCACGAGCGCCCCTTGCACGCGACCCTCCGCCCCCCACGTCTGGCGCACAGCTTGGCGCCGCTCAAAGTCGGCCGCCACTGACTTGACCGCGATGAGTAGGTCGGGTCCTGCGCCGGGTGCGCCATCGCCTCGGCACTTGTGCGGCTGGTTAATGAGCAGGGGGAAGCGTCGCTGGTCCTTGGCACGCAGGTATCCGCGAAAGTCAAAGGGTCCCGTGGGCGTGGGCGGCTCCGGCGTATCCTCTTCATAGACCTGCAGGGCTGCGCCCGCGTCCGGCGCCTGGAATACACGGAGCCGGGGGGTGGGACCCCGCGCTGCCCTCCCTTGCACTCGCGGCGCTCTAGTGGTGGGAGCTCTGCCATCGCGCTGCGCATAGAGCAGGAGGCTGAGGGCGGCGCCCAGGATCAGCGTGAGCAACGCGTCCCCACGTAGGCGCAGCCTCCACCTCATGTCCGCGTGGCCGGCGCCCGCGCCCCCTGCGGAGAAACTCTGTCAGGGTTCCCGGCCCCGCCCTCCCCGAGGGGAGGGGGCGGAGGCCACCCGCCGGGGTTCCCCAACTACCGGCTGTTCATCCTCCTCCTCTGGGCTCCGTTACTCCCCTCATCCCCCCACCCCGACCCGGATGGCACCCTGAAAGGGCAAGGAGTCTTCCAAGCAGCCAACTCCCACCCCTCAGCTTCAGCCCTGGACGGGGCTCCTAGGCCGGGCAGGGAGAAACGGAGCCTCAGCCCCACCCCCACCCGCCTTCCCTGCGCTGCGGCCGAATCCCTTATACTCTCCACTCACCACGTCGGTCCTTGTGATGCGCA